TATCTATCTATCTATCTATCTATCTATCTATCTATCTATCTATCTATTTATCTATCTATCTATCTGTATTGTCTATGAGATACGTATTAACACTGATTTTGTGCCTTGGACAAAGAACATTATGCTAAGTGCATTAAAATTACATCCACGTCCACTGCAATTTGTCAGCTTTTTCTTTTCTTAATTTTTCCTCCCAGATGCGTTTGAGAAAAAAAGATAAGAAAAGAAAAGGGGACCCATCTTGCAGAGACGTTCAAAGATCCATCTTGACAGAACACCCTCTTACCTCGCCTCTAAAGACAGCTCGCACTGAATGGACAGATTACAGGGGAAAACAAATAAATATATAAATAAAAATAAAAACAACCACCGTTGCCATGTTGGATTCAGACCAGCACTCACACTCCATAATTATTAGGCTTGTGATTGCACACGAGTGGTTTTGGTTGTTGGATCTGGCTCTGGTTAGGGTGAATGGGGAGGGTGGGGGGGTGGATGATGGTAGTTGTTGTATGTATCCACTCCCATTTTTCCCCCTGGATGTCAGAAAATTGCATTTTGAGTGAGAGCCTGTGCTCCTCTCATCAACAGTCATAATTTACTTGTCAAAGCAGGGGGTCCTCAGCATGGAGGCTGGGCTCCCTGGGGCTTTAATTGCGGGACGGTTTTCTCCTGAAATGCTTCAAGTCAAAGAAGAAGCGTGCCTCTGCTTGTCGAGCTTTGTGGGCCTCACTGCCCCCATTATTCAGACAACTGTAAAACACTGTTGAAACTTGTTTGACTGGCTATATTACACTTTCACCATCACCATTTTTGCCATCTGTGACTTTCAGCTGATATTTGGCGCAAAGGAAGCGGAGTCCATGTTGGCGCAATATCGCCATCTAGCGGCAAAAACATGAACTCCTCATGGTTTCAGGTCAAACAAGGTTTTCCTGAAGATTCATTGCAGATGTGCAGCTTATAACGGCATTTTTTATGCAATAAATGAATTATGGGCCTTCATGAATCATTCACTAAGAAAGATGTTGATTATAAGTGCTGTGTTGGTTTATTGTGTATTTTACCGGAAGTCAAATTTTCCTTCATTAATTAAATTTACACGTCACAGATTAGACTTCCACATATATGAACAAGACGATGCATTGTGTTTATGAGAGGAAATTTATTGCTCAACGTTATACTGAAAGATTTTAGGTGCCAGTGTCATTCTTGCTTAGGAATCTCCAGATTTTTGTTTCAGAGAATGTCTTTACAAAAACAAATAAAAAGGGTTTTTAACGTGCTCAACCGATTCAATCTCATCTGCTGTTTAGAGCAACAATGTCCTCCATCTTCTCAAACAGTCCTTCGATCGTGGCGTTGTCCTTTTTGCTGGTCAGCACATGATACCTGCCCCCACATCTCTCCACGAGCCCCATCAGTTCCCCGTTCCTCAGGATGTGCTGCTCGGCGCTCTCGCCTAGAGTTTCTCCCCACGTGAAGAGCACCAGTGCGCGTCTCCAGACATCCTCCCCGAGCAAGCCCACGTGCTCCTCTACGGCTCGTCTGTACCTCTGTGTGCAGGTCAGGAAGGCGGGGATGAGCAGCAGGACGACATTGGCACCCGAATGGAACCAGGACATGACGTCCAGGATGCCCTTCCGCTGCGATGCGTTGGTTGGATCGGGTCCGTCTCGCCACCTCAGTCCGAGCGGCTCTGCGACGACCAGACGCCTCCCGGCTAGTTGACCTCTCCAAGACCTGAAGCATTCGTTAGTTTTGGATGCTTCTACACCCAAGATGCTGACTCCAGCTGTGGAACGAGAAGACCAGGTCTCTCCCAACACCATCACCCTCAATTCTGACCCAGAGTCCTCGTTGTTGGATGTTTCAGGCCTATGAGATGTCAGTCTGATTGTTGTTTCTTTTCTCATCTCGAGGTTTTCTTCAGCCGGATTGGTTTCTTTAAATGTTTTGAGTTGGCTGATTGAGCTCTCTACAGCTGATAAACCTGTTTTCATCCTTTGATTCTTTTTATCTTCCATGCCATCATCTCCGTTTGACTCCTTTCCTTGTTTCCTCCTCCCACTGACCTCTCGGTGAATCAAATGCTCATTATCTTCTGAGTTCTGCTGGTAAAATGACTCTTTGTCATCCACCTTAGAAGCTGCAGGATGTTTCTCCCTTTTATCCAACTCTTCCTCCCGTTTTTGAAGAGTCTGCTCCCACTTGTTCAGGTTTTTGAGCGACTCCTTGAGTTTTTTCTCCTTGGTGTGCAGTTCCTCCTTCAGAGAAGCCATCTCCCGGCGCATCCCATCCAGCTGCTGTGTTGTGCAGCTAACGTGCTCATTGTGCATCAGGAGCTCTGACTTCAAGCTGAGTAACTCCTGCTCTTCGTTTTTCAAGTAGCACTCTCTGTCCTTCAGCTCTTTGCCTTGATCCTTCAGCCCTCTGACCTTCTTCTGGATATCCTGGCCATGAGAGCTCAGCTCTCTCTGTTTGCCCTCCAGAACCTGAAATATGGCGTCGAGCTCCTTTTCCTTAGTCTCGATTCTCTGCTCTCTCAGCTTCAAATCTTCCTTGAGTTTGTCTTTTTCCTCCTGCTCCTTTTGTTTCATCTCTAAATTCAGCTGTAGCTTTTGCAGCTCTTGTTCTTTACTCGCCAACTTCACTTCGGTTTCAAGAAGGCCTTTCTCTTTTGCGTCAAGGTCGTTTCCTCGTTTGCTCAGCTCTGCATCCTTTCTGCTCAGGGTTTGCTCCTTGTCTCTGGCTAATTTTTCTTGTTTGAAAGATTCCTCATCCTTGTCATTTTCTTGCTCCATTAGTTGTTTTGTAAAACGTTCTTTAAGCTCGTCCGTCTGAGTCTTGCTCATTTCTTCCCTGGCTTGAAGCCTTGCTATCTCAGCTTGCAGTTCATTGCTGGCATCTTTTAAGGTTCTTAACTCCACATCTTTATCTTCACATTGCTTTAGATGTTCCCTAACCTCTTCCTGACACTCCTTCCTCATCTCCTCGCACCTGATTCTGAAATTGTCCACCTGTTTCTTCATCTTCTCGTGTTGCTCCTGCAGCTCCTCCACTCTTTTTTGGCTTTCCCGATTTTCTTCTTCCAAGCGACTTACGTGGACATCTTTGTCTTCGATAGTCTCGTTTCTAATCTTGATTTCTTTCTCGTACTCCTGAATCATGCTCGTCGTTTCCTTTTCCATTTTTTCAGTGAGCTGTTTCAGCTCGGACTTGGTTTGCTCAATGGTCAGCCTCAGCTGGACAAGCTCTTTCTCGTTTTCTTTGTCCTTCTGCTGCAAACGTTCCAGCTCTTCTTCTTTCTTGTGAAGTCGTTGCGTCATTTCGGCTGCAGTCTTCCTCTCTTGCTCTGTGTAACTTTGCTGTGTCTTTTCGTAGCTTTCTTTTAGCTCGTTGACGTCCTTTAAGTAGCTTGCACACCGTCTTTGTGTCTCGTCGACTTCTCTTTCTCTCTGCGCAAGGAGACTTTGCACTTCTGCCATTTCTTTAGTTTTCTCATCTATGATTTCCAAAAGTTTGTTCGCCTCCTGTGTGTCTTTCTCCTCTTTGCTCCTCAGCTTCTCCTTCCATCTCATTTCTCTGTAGTCGGCCTGCTGTTTAAGACTTTCCATCTCCGTTTCCTTTTCTTTCAGTTTTGTCTCGTCGTCTAAAAGTTGTCGTCTCATGTCCTCCATCTTTCTCTCCATGTCCTGCAGCCGCTGCTCGGCCTCTTTCTTTTGGTTCAGAATGATCAGCCCTCGCTCTTCTTCTCTTCTCTGCAGGACCTCCTCGATGTCCTTTATTTGGTCGTTTAGCTTCTCTATCGTCCTTCCATTTTCTTGCAGTATTTGCTGCATCTGCTTCTTGTGGTTAAAGTCAACTCGCTCTTGTTCCTCTCTCGTCTGCAGCAGCTGTTGGTCGAGTTCTTTTAGCTTTTCCTTCATTTCTTTAGTTCTCAGTTCTTCTTCCTCCAGTTTTTGCTCGGTCTTTTTTTGTTGACACAGATAAGAAAGTTCTTTCTCTTCCTTTTCTTGTAGCGCTTCCTTCATTTCCTTAACGCTTGTTTTCATGTCCTCGATTTCTTTTTCTTTTGTTGTCACTAACTGATCCATTGCTCTGATCTCATATAACAGATTCGTTTCTTTTTCTGTCATCTCTGCTATCTCTTTCTCGTGTCTTTCTTTCTCTCTTTTCCTGTTTTCAGCTTCATCTTTAAGTTCACACTTTAATCTCTCCGTCACTTTATCTTTCTGTTGCAGCTCTTGCAGCACATTCGTCTGCTCCAGCCTAATTTCGTCAATTTCTGCAGAGAGCTTTTGTTTTAAGTCTCTTATCTGCTGTTGTTCTTCTGTTTCTTTGAGCAGCTGTTCTTTCAGGTCTTTGCTTTCTTTTACTCTTTTTTGCTCCAAGACGTGAAGTTTCTCCCTGTACTCGTGTTTGACCTTTTCAACCTCCTCTTCCTTTTGTTTGACAGTTTTATCAACTTCCCTCTGGTGTTCAGCTTTTAGTTCCTCCATCAGTTTTGCCATTGCATCTGTTTTTGTTGCCATCTCTTCTTGGTGATGCAGCTTTAAGGTCACCAATGTTTTCTCTCTCTCTCGGTTCTGTTGTTCCATGTCTTTTTGGTAGTTTAGCTGTGTTTCTTTGTCTTTTTTGTTTTCCAGTAATTTAGCTTCCATCTGCGCGAGATACCCCAGTTTTAACTCTTCAGTTTCTCTGTTTTTCTCGTGCATTTCTTCAGCGTTTTTTCTTGCAAACTGCTCTTTTAGTTCTTCAATATGCTTTAGTTGGTCTTGTTGCAAGTTCTTTATTTCTTTGTCATGCTGCCGTTTGATCTGTTTTATATCGTCAGATTTCTCTTTGAGCATCTTCTCAGCTTCTTCTTGTTGCTGAACTTTCATCAACTTTATAACTTTTTCCACCTCAGATATTTTTCTGACCATCTCTTCCTGATGCTTCAGTTTTAAGGCCTCAACAATATTTTCGTTCTTTTGTTTTAGTTCTTCCATGTCTTTCTTGTGATTAAGACCAATTGTTTCTATGTCTTTTACATATTCCAGCTTTTTAGCTTCTGTTTGAGTTAAAATATGTTTTAACTCTTCAGTTTGTCTGTTTTTCTTTTGCATTTCTTCAGTGTTTTTTCTTGCAAACTGCTCTTTTAGTTCTTCAATATGCTTTAGTTTTTCTTGCCTCAAGTTCTTTATTTCTTCGTTATACTGCCGTTTGATCTGTGTTACATCGTTAGCTTTTTCTTTTAGCATCTCAGTTTCTTCTTGTTGCTGAACTTTCATCAACTCCATAACTTTTTCCACCTCAGATATTTTTCTGACCATCTCCTCCTGATGCTTCAATTTTAAGGCCTCAACTATGTTTTCTTTCTCTTGTTTAAGTTCTTCCTTGTCTTTCTTGTGATGAAGACGGCTTGTTTCTTTGTCTTTTACATATTCCAGCATTTTAGCTTCCATTTGAGTTGAAATATGTTTCAGTTCTTCCATTTCTCTATTTTTTGCTTGTATTTGTTCAGTGTTTTCTCTTGCAAACTGCTCTTTTAACTCAGCGACCTGTTTTTGTTGTTCTTGCTTCATGTTCTTAATTTTTTTGTCATGCTTTTGCTTTAGCTCTTCTATATGCTCAGCTTTTTCTTTCAACATCTTCTCAGCTTCTTGTTGTTCCCGAACTTTCATCGTCTCCATGAGTTTTTCCATCGCAGATATTTTTCTGGCCATCTCCTTTTCATGCTGCAGTTTTATGTCTTTTATCTCAGCCTCTTTCGCTATATTTTGCATTTCCGTTTCTGTTTTATGTTGTAGTTTTAGCTCTTCCAGTTTGCTCTGCATGATTTTCTCCTGTTGTTTAATGTTTTTAAGAGCTGTCTGTTTTTCCTCCGCAGCTTGCACACTCAGTCCTTCCAGCTGTTTTTCCTTTTCAAGCAGCTTTATTTCCATCTCTCTTTTCAGTTTCTCCTCCCTCTCCTCCATCTCTTTGTTTTTTTCTTGCTCTTTCCTAACAAGGATGTCCTCATAGTGTATTTTACTTTGCTTCATGTTTGTATTTAAATATTCAAGCTTTTCAATCCCCACTTTTTTCTCTTTCTTGAGCATTTCTATAGTTTCTCCCATTTTCTCCAGTTCTTTCATCCATTCTTGTTTTAGTGCATCCATATTGTCCTCTCTTTGTTTCTTCTCTTGTTCGGTTTCTGCACAGGAGTGTTCCAGATCCAGAAGCTTCAGCTGCTGCTCTTCGTTTCTTTCGTGCAGCTCCTCAATCTCCCTCTCTTTCAGCTCCAGTTTCTGCTCCACCTCGTACTTCTCTTGCTGACTTTGGTTTAGTACAATGTGGATCCTCTCATTTTCTAGGCTTAAGTCCTGAATCTCCCTCTCTCTGTCTTCTGTCAGCCATCTCATCCTCTCCTCCAGCTCACCCATGTCATTCCTCATTTCCCCAACCCTCCTGTCCTCATCCTCCTCTTCTTCTCTTTGAACATCGGCTTTCCCTGGTGATTTCACCTTCTTCTTTCTGTCAAAGAACCATCTGATGCTCTTCACCTCCCTCTCTCTCATTTTCTTCAACTCCGTCTCCTGACGAAGCACCTTGTCTCCCATCTCCTTCAGCCGCTGGTTGAACTTTTTGTTCCTTTGTTGACTTAAGTCCCTGACTTCTTGTACCAGACTAGAAAAGGCTTCGCATCTGTTCATCGTTGCCATCTTTTCCACTTTCTCCAAGAGCTCTGTCACTGTCGTGGAGCCTTCGCCTCCCCTTCCTCCTCCGTCTCTGCTGCTGATCACGTGGTACCTCCCCCTGCATTTCTCCAACAGCCCTTGCAGGTCCTTGCCTCCACTCTGGATGTGCTGCTTGATGTCCACCCCCTCTCGAAGCTGATCTCCGTGGGTGAAGAGTAAAATGGTGTGCCTCCAGACGCCCTCTCCAAGAAGTTCCAGATGTTCCCTCACATGTCCTGCCTTTACCAGAGTGTCTACCCTCAAAGTCAGCAGCAGAGCATGAGGCCCGGGTGGACACAATGCCACGCTACACATGATCTCTCTTTTGACCCTCTCTGGTGTGGCTCCAGCCACTCCCCCCTCCCAGCCTGGCGTGTCCACTACCGTCACCAGTCTCATGGCCACTTCCGCCTGCTGACGGATGCACTCCTCCGTCACTGCTCCTGAGCTGAAAAAGCTTGTCTTTCCAAGGATGGCGTTCCCAGCAGAACTCTTCCCAGTTTCTCTCTCGCCCAGGAAAACCAGTCTGACTTCGGGAAGCCGTCGAGAAGCCTTGGAGAAGGATCGGTGTGCGTCGAGCTCAGAACCTTGAGGGCCGTCACCTGACGAGGAAAAAGAAAAAACAAATGCTTCATTCATTGTGTTTTTATACCATTAAATTAATGACAAGTTACATTTAGTTATTTTTTTCAGGTAGATTAGGGCCCAAACTTCCAAAATCATCTTTACTGTCTTAAAATGTTTGTTCCTGCTTATATAAAAATGTGTGGGGCATGTAGCTAAATAGAAAACAGTTTTGGGGATTTCACAGTGAGAAACTGCTGGATTTTGTCAGAGTCAGAGTTTCTTTATTGTCATTCGCACCTCATGTGGTACATGTGGTGGAGTGAAATTATGTACATGGGGTCCCAGTTACATCCAACAATGAAATGTATAAGAAAAACAGTAATAACATCTAAGATATGAACTAAGAAAAACATCAACTAAATATACACTAAGCACTCATAACATAAAACATTGAACATCAGCACAAACATGAACATGAGTCTGTGAGCAGATGTGCACGCATGAACACATCAACATTGAAACAGATCAGCAGCAACATGATATGGTTTTTCACAGTGATTATTCTAGTTAGAGATTCATGAGTCTAACAGCCTCAGGGTAGAAGCTGTTCCTCAGTCTAGTGGTTCTACACTTAATGCTCCTTAACCTCCTTCCTGAGGGGAGTGGGGCAAAAAGTGTGTGTGCTGGGTGAGTGGGGTCCTTCGTGATGCAGAAAAGTGAAACTGCTGGATTTTGTTGATTTTTGTGAAAACTAAACCACATTCTTCAAATAACCATAAAAGTGTTACTTTGCATAAAAATGAATTAGTTAAAATGGCCCTTTGATGGACTGGAGACCTGTCCCGGGTGTCCCCCGCCTTTCGCACAGTGATGGCTGGACATGGGCACCAGAGACCCTCGCAACTCAAAAAGGAAGAAGTGGGTAAAGATAATGGATGGATGGATGGATGGATGAAACTTGTAACTTTATTTTCTAAAGTTTTTAATTTGAATTTCTAACATGAAAACATCCTTTTAGAAAGAAACAGTGCAATTCCCTGATATCACAAAACATACACAGTAATATATCAGTACTTTTATCTTAATTGTTTTCTGTTTAGGAACTTCAAACTTCTTTTAACGGATTTTGTGGAAGAGGTAAAAACAATTAACATCTTACCTGTTAAAAATAGCTCTTTGAACAATTTCAGTTTGGAGAAATAAACTTTGATCAGACTGAAAAGCTAATAGTCAAAGTGGGACACAAACAAAGCAGACTCTTGTCTTCAGTTTCCTATTATGTGTTTTATTTTCTTGTATCCCAGGTTTCACCAGAAATGTTACAGTTAGCTGCTGGTGCCACTCTGCGTTTGCAGATCAGAATTTTATTTTTTTCTTCTTCTTTTGGCTGCTCCCTGCGTTAAGGGGTCGCCACAGCAAACTAAGTCGCATGAAGACTTGGCAGTTTTTTGTTTTGTTTTTACGCCAGATTCCCTTCCTGATGCAACCACAGACCAGTGAGCTACCACAGCCCTCTGTGGAGCAGAGAGCTGCAGATCACAATATAATTTTGTGTAAATAACCATTTAACATGAAATTAACAGCAAAAAGGGTAAATTAAATACCATAATTCTCAGCCTACAAGTCATGTTTTTTTGCATAATTTGCATGCCCTGCGACTTATACACTGAAGCAACGTATTTATGGATTTTTCCCATATTTATAAACTAATTTTTGGCTGCGATATGACCGTTTTCATTCATTCTGACAGAAAATATTTAACACTACCATTTTCAGCTGCTAGATGGCACTCGAGTAGTAAGGCATGCCGTTGTATCATGTAATGGGTAAAAGTGGCTATTAATGACAAAATCAGCTTGCCAAAGACTGCCACCTTTGTTCTGATAGCTGCTTGGAGCACCCATCATATCAGTTTCATTTCGCTGTGCCGCCCTGGCGAAATGCAGCTGATTTGACAATTTGAGTGCATTTATTGAGCAAAAGTTCAACTGAGACACACCTTTGCTATAATGTCGAGCAAACAAATAATTATTTTAGGTGCTTATCTTGTTAAATTTCGAAGAAATACACAGCGACGCGTCCCTCTGCGTGTTCCTACTTCCACGTATCAGCTTTGGAAGTACAGCTGAATTGACAGTCAAAGTGCATTTATTAAGCAAAAGTTAGACTGAAACATACCTTTACTGTAATTTTGAGCAAACAAATAATTGTTTTTAGGTGGTTTTCTTGTTAAATTTCGAAGAAATGCACAGCGCGTTGTCCCTCTGCATGTGCGCGCTTCTGCAAATCGGGTTTTGAAATGCAGCTGATTTGACCATCAAAGTGCATTTATTAAGCAAAAGTAAGACTGAGACACACCTTTACTATAATGTCGAGCAAACAAATAATTGTTTTTAAGTATTAATCTTGTTAAATTCTTGTTAAAGTCCTCCCGTGCACGCTCCTGCGGCTGCCATTTGGCAGCTAATGGATTTTTGACACAACACCGGCCCACATTTCCAGGTTCAGCCCACATTTCCAGGTTGTCAGCGGTGACACATAACAAATGCGTCAACAGTGACACATAATAGATGCAGCATATACAGCGAAGTGACATATTTATGGATTTTTCCACTTTATTAGACATATTTGGACTGATGCGACTTATAGGGTGGCGCAACGTTTACGGCGGAAAATACGGTAGTGTTTGTATGAATCACTATGAACTACTTGAGAATAGAGAAAAAAAAACTGAGAATGTTCAAAGAGCTATCTACAACAAGTTAGAAAATACAGTAATTGCATAGTATAAGTATAAATAAAGGTTGAATGAATGAATATATATTATAACATTTTCACAGAATTCAACTTCAAATACTTTCATTTAAGGCATTGTTTTTGTTTGTTTTTTGTTTTTTGATATTACAAACTCTATGATCTTGACAGAGTTCATTTCTGGGCAATATTTAGCCTTTTTCCACCAAATCAGTTTAATCCAACTCACACACACATTTCAGACTAATCACCTGGAAGAAAATTCAGAAGTTCATTTATTCTTGAAAAGTATTGATCATGCTTTAATGTCTGGTGTCACTTCTGTCAAAACCAGCTGAACTTTTCTCTTCCACCTCCTCCAACCACAAGCCTCAAGAAGAAGAAAAGCAGTCAGCTCTGTGTTGGAATCACTCATTAACTCCTGTCAAACCATTTCCTCTACCATTCTACCACTATCCAGTTCTGTAACCGTGCTTTGTTCATCTTAGGCACATTTAGGACTGCATTCAAAGAGCTAGATCTGCAGTACAGGCCTTAATTCTCATCTTAATTAACCTGCGTGCAGATGTCAAACACTTGCATGGCTTTTTGTTTCACTGCTATGCAGATGATACCATACTCTATCATTTTATTCTATTAAACATAAAATCTGACCACAACCTTCTTGTTTGACATAATCAGTCAGGAATACTGTCCTCCCACTTACATTTCTTTTCAAGACTTATCTGTTTGGTCATTATTGCGAATTAATTCATCCAACAGAATACCAACGAGTAAACTAGGGCGATGATGTGATTTACCTATTTCTTCATTTGCTGACAGATTTTGCAGTCAAGCTGCAATTATATTGCTGTCACTAATTCACTAATAGCATAAACTTTTTTTTACAAAAAGTTATAGTTGTCCAAATGAAAAATGTTTCAGATTTTCAAGTCTCCCTGTGGCCTGATGATAAGGATAAGGAGTCCCTTATCTTGAAATCCGAGCATCATTCAGTTAGATTTTTTACTTGTGAAGCTGATTGACTGAAGGTGTTTATTCAGGTGGAAATAAAAGGAATGATTAAAAAAAAAAACTCAACAACATACAAACTTTTCAAAGTAAAACACCAAGGTTTTCAAATGTCTTAAATGTCGTTCATTTCATTCAGTTATGAAATATTAATTAAATGGTGAGCTCATGGCGGGAGCCTTTTCTGCTTTTCTAAACCTTTTTATGAAAATCAAATGTTTTCATGCACTTGAAACCACTTGTGAAGTTGGAGTACATAAATTAAAGAATGTGAAGGACTCACTCATGAGAGCAGCTTTGATGGTTCCTCTCTGCACCTGCTCCTCCATCTGCCTCTGCTTCTTTCTTCTCTCCCTAGCTCTCCTCTTTCCTTCCACCTCCACGCCCGACAGGACAGTATGATCCAACTCGAGATGACTCTTTCTGTTCTTCCTGTCCACCATCGCCTCCAGCTTCCGTATAAGCTCACTGACTTGTGTCCCATCTCCTTTGTTGTGGTTATTCACAACGTGGTATCTGTTGGCACACTTCTGGAGGAGCCTTTGGAGTCCCGAGCCACTCGTCAGGATTCGCTGCTCCATGGTCACCAGGCCCAGCTCGTCGCCCCTGGTGAAAAGCACCAAGGTATGTTCCCACACATCTTTCCCCAGCGGCTCCAAGTGCTCCTCTATCTCCTTGATGTAGTTATTTGTGACAGAAGCACAGGATCGTACAACCAGGAGCACAGTGTGTGGCCCAGGAGGACAGAGGGTCACACTCCGTAAGGTTTCTCTCCTCACCCAATTGGGGGTGCTGTTCAGTGGGTAGTACCACTCCCATCCAGGTGTGTCTACAACTGTTACTTTTCTCCCGGCGACGTCAGCTCGCCTTTTCACACACTCCTCAGTGGGTTTACCGCTCTCAAACCCACCGACACCTCCCAGGATGGTGTTTCCTGCTGCGCTCTTCCCAGTTCCTTTTCTTCCCAAGAGGACAAGTCTAAGTTCTGGAACCATAGGTGGGACATCGGGGGAAGCAGGCGAGCGTTGGAAGTTCATGGCGGCCTGCAGGCTCTCATCTGTGAAGAAAGGGAGAAGTACTTCCTCACTGCATCGTACCGGATAAGCTGAATGACACAAAGCAAAAAAAAAACAACACAACAATCGTCAGATATCTAGTCTATAAATCACAATTAAAATTGTACGTTTTGTTTTTCTCTGATCAACTACATCTTAAAAGTTGTCTTTGCAAACAATATATTCAAATATTCTGCCATTAAACTTCCAGACTGATCAGAAATGTAACACTTACTCACACAAAAGTAGCTCTGAACAAATCCAGATTGCAACAGTTTACTGAAACAAAAGTGACACTGAACTCACCACCGTTTGTGTTTGTACCGGAGTTCTCATCTGCCGAGTCCATCACTTCTCTGTCCGTGTATTTTTAACCTCTGCTCTTCCTCTTTTTGGTTAGTTAGCGTATTCTAAAGGAAGAGGTTCCTAAGAATCATTGTGACATACAAAAGACACCGGTGATTCAGTGATCTGAAACTAGGACTTGGGCTGTCACGTGATCCGCATGTGGTTTTCTAGCATGCTCTCACTCAACAAGACAGGAAGTTACGAGTTGGCACATTGGGGTTTCAAGAAATGGTGCATGCTTGTTAAGTCTGCAAAGGCACAAATGCATGCAGAACACAACTCGTGTAGATCTTAATTCATACATACACATGTTGCATGCACATACAATGTGTTTGCACGCAAAATCAGACATGCAAATATTATTTTAAGCACAGTTCAGTGTGTAAATGTCAAGTCACTGCCCTGTGGTGAAATTGTAAAACTCTTGTTTCCTGTATCTACAAGCAAGTTGGTGGTGTATAACGGAACGGGACCAGAAAAACTCAAAACTCAAAGCACTAAGAAAAGTTTCTCACTTAAAGAAACTTGGTCAGATGACACGATTTGACCTTTTTTGCAGTTATCTACATGCATGATTGAGCGTACAGCCCTTTTATCAAAGCACTACGGTTTGAAAATACCTTTAACTTACATTTTTGTAATACTCTGGAACAGTAAAAAAAATAATGATTTTACTAAATGTTTTTGCCATGATACATGTAATCAAAGGTTTTATTTAGAACAAAGCACTCAAATGAGTAAGTTTGTATTGTTTCAGTTTTAACCGAGGATCCTGATATCCTGTGTGCTGTTCAGTTTTTTCATTGTGACACTTTCAATTAAAACATTAACCTCTACCGTATTTTTCGAACTATAAGGTGCACCAGACTATAAGGCGCAATATCAGTGAATATTTCTGTTTTCATACATAAGGTGAACCGGATTATAAGGTGCACTAAGCAAAACTAAAACATTTTGACAGATTTTTGAGCGCCGTGTACCACATAAAATTGGTTCGAGGTCAGTAAGCACAACCAGAATTAATACATAAGGCACACCTGATTATAAGGCTCACTGTTGATTTTTGAGAAAATTAAAGGATTTTAAGTGCACCTTATAGTCCAAACAATACAGTAATTGACAGTATACTCCTCAAGTGATCTTTTCCACTGATAAGACATACAAGTCTATTGTGGCTGTAAACGCAGAAGCTGCCAATTGAATTGTACCACAAAGAACATTTAGCGTAATTTCCGCTTTTCATCTTACACCACCACGCTTTGTATCGCCTGACGTCAAATAACGTTTTTACTTGTGTCTCTGAACATGAGTGTGTGTTTACCGTTTCTGTCTATTACTAAAATATCTCATGAACCGCTGGATGAGTTTTAATGAAACTTGCAGAAACTAACCCTTGGATATACATCTAAGCTGAAAAATGTTTTGAATCAGTTCAGTTCAAGATGGCCAGCACATCCAAACGACCTTGGGAAATACAAAAATGGCTATAATTTAATAAAATGTATTCAGTTAAATTTGTCATTCAAGTAACTGAACATTATTACCAATATCCTGACGCATGCTCAATAATACAGGTAAATCTATCAAAATTAAGTCAGGTCCTCAGGACGGTTAGAAAAAGTAAAAATAAAAAAAATTGTTGAACCATTTCGTCTTTAATCCAAAAGACTTCATCAGTCTGAGCTGTAATGAACTCAGTCTTATAAATAGTCTCTTCTCATAGTGGATCAACCAGTTTGTTGTTACGGTATCAGTTGGTTTCATGGTTTTGTGCTTGCTTGTATGTGTTAGTGTACAGCACTTTGGCCAACGGTGTTGTTTTTAAAGTGCTTTATAAATAAAGTTGTATTGTATCATATTGTATTGTTGTTGACTTTCAAAACTAGCTGTTCACATGATAAAGGAGGACCATCAGCCTAACAACTGATCATTAGTGCCCTGATGACCACTTGCTATTCAGTCATCATTACCAACGCATACTCTGATCAGACCTCTACCTAAAATGTTGACAATAACTGTTAGAGTCAGTGCTGTCTGTTAGCAAAATATCTTGGGCACCACTATACAGATTTTAGTGAAACTGACAGAAAGTAAATACTGGGTAAATATCTACTTCTGGACTCAGCCAGATGGCCAGCACAACAAGAATTGGAGAAAAACTAAATCAGCAAAGATTCAATTCTATTCAGTTTATTTACATAGCATCAATTTATTACAAAAGCCACCTTGGGATACTGTACAAAACATTCACATAGAAGCCCACAGATTGCATCAAATCTTTACTTCAATGCAGTCTCCCATTCTGAGAAAGCCCAGACAAGATGCAAAAAACAAAATGTAAAAAGATTAATGTTATTTTTGTATTTCTCTATGATTTAGGAAAAATACACATTATAAAGTTGAGGTTTTGTGTGAGGAGCAGGAAAGATTTCATCATGCCTCCCTCTCTGGCTGCAGTACGTACACATTACAGCTTGTTCCAGCGTGTTGCCCAACAAGAAACATGAAAACACACAGGCTCACATTAAATCATGTTCTTCATGATTCAGTTCTTCCTTCAGCAACTGTCAAGGATGAAAAAAGCTGTTTATGGGAATGACTGAAGCAGTTGTATGGCATCATTAACCTGAGCAGATCTGTGCTGAGGTCTTTGACGAGCTTTGCATGTGAATTATTGCTATGGTTATTTTTGTTTTGTTAGCATGTAGAGTCTTGCAAACATTCAAGGCTGACCAACAAAATGACTCATTATGAATAGAACAACTTGCAAATATAACTACCATTTGTTATTTTTAATTCATCCATCCATTATTTTCCACTTACTCCAGAGTCGGGTCACGGGGGCAGCAGCTTGAGCACGGAGGTCCAGACATCTTTTCCACAGCCACCTATTCCAGCTCTTCTGGGAGGATTCCAAGGCATTCCCAGGCCAGACATAGTCTCTCCAGCGTATCCTGGGTCTTCCCCGGGGGGGAACTCCTCCCAGTCGGACATGCCCGAAGCACCTCCCTTGGGAGACGCCATGGGAGCGTCCTTACCAGATGCCCGAACCACCTCAACTGGCTCCTCTTGATGTGAAGGAGTAGTGGTACTACTCTGAGTCTCTCCTAGATAACTGACCTTCTCACCCTATCTTTAAGGGAGAGTCCAGCTACCCTACAGAGGAAACTCATTTCAACTGTCTGTATCCGCGATCTGATTCTTTGGGTCACTACCCAAAGCTCATGACCATAAGTGAGGGTAGGAATGTAGACCAACCAGTAAACAGAGAGCTTTGCCTTACAGCTCAGCTCTCTCTTCACCACAACGGAACAGTACAGAGTCCGCAATACTGCAGATGCTGCACCAATCCATCTGTCAATCTCACGCTCCATTCTTCCCTCACTCATGAACAAAACCTGAAGATACTTGAACTCCTCCACTTGAGGCAGAATCTCACCCTCAACCTGAAGAGATCAATCCACCCTTTCCCGGTTGAGGACCATGGCCTCAGATTTGGAGGTGCTGATTCTCATCCCAGCCGCTTCACACTCGGCTGAGAACCGCTCCAGTGAGAGCTGAAGATCACGGCACGATGACGCCAATAGGACCACATCATCTGTAAAGAGCAGAGATGGAATCCTAAGGCCACCGAATTGTACACCCTCTGCCAGCTGGCTGCACCGAGAAATTCTGTCCATAAAAGTTATGAACAGAATCGGTGACAACGGGCATCCTTGGCGGAGTCCAACTCTCACCCTGAAGGGGTCCGACTTACTATCGGCAATGTGAATCAGACTCTCACACCATATAGAGACTGAACAGGCCATAACAACGGGCCTCTTATCCCATACTCACGGAGCACCCCCCACAGTGTACCCTGAGGAACACGGTTGAATGCCTTCTCCAAGTCCACAAAACACATGTAGACTGGATGGGCAAACTCCCATGACCCCTCGAGGATCTAGTGAGGGTAAAGAGCTGGTCCAGTGTTCCACAGCCAGGACCCACATTGTTCCTCCTGGATCTGAGGTTAGACGAACGATCGGACTCACTTCTCCAGTAGCCCTGAATAGACCTTACCAGGGAGGCTAAGGAGAGTGATGCCCCTATAATTGGAGCACACCCTCCGGTCCCCATTTTTTAAGAGGGGAACCACCACCCCTCTGGTCTGGCAGACCAGTGCCACTGGTCTGCACTGCCCCAGATGGCCACGCGACGTTGCAAAGACCAAGACCAAACAACCAAGACAGCCCCACAACATCCAGAGCCTTAAGGAAATCAAGGTGAATCTCATCCACCCCCGGAGCCCTGCCACCTCTGAGATTTTTAACTACCTTGGTGAGTTCAGCCACAGTTATGGACTTTATTACTATTAAAGTTGTTCTAGTTGTAATGTTCTTAAAAAAGTTAAGCCTGGTCCTCTGTACATTCAAAAAAACAAAACAAAAAAATTGTATAAACGTTTCGTCTTTCATCCGAAAGACTTCTTCAGTCTGAGGTGCTGTGTTCAGCTCAGTCTGAAACGAAACGTTTCTACAATTTTTTTGTTTTGTTTTGTTTTTTGAATGTTCAGAAGACCAGGCTTAACTTTATTAGATTTTTCTACATGGATTATTGAGCATGCATCAGGATAGTTGTAATGTTATATGAATAAAACCAGATTAAAAAATGTGATCTTATTAGTAATTTATACTCTTTTAGCTGTTTACGTACAATAAACTCAATGACCTTAACAAAAACTGGTAACTTGTATTTTTTGACCAAATATATATAGTGTGGTGTTCCTAGTTTAGTACTTTTGTTGTTTTGTTGCTTAATTCCACTTTTTTAAAGTGGATGATTCCAGCATATCTGTCTGTATTAAGAACGCACTTGCTTCAGTCTGAAGAAAAACATTTCACAGCATTTTATGAAGTTTTTTTGTCATATTGATGGAAATTCTTTTTCATGGTTGAAGCAAATTATAGATGTTTTTGTAGCCAATGCGGTCGCTCCACTTCTCAGTAGTTGGGACTTACTTAGTGTTTGGATTCATTTCTCAGTCTTAACAAGCCTAG